AGTGCCCCTCCCTGCCCGGGGGGGGGGGCTGCGCCAGGCCGGGCTTCTGCTCCTCTCAGGCTTTGTTCCACTTTGCGCAATAAAGAAACATAGTTGCCATCATTTCCCAGACTCCTGAGTCGTGCCTCAGTTTCTCCACCCCGGTCCCTGCAACCCAGAGCCTGTGAGACCCCTCCTCCGTTCAGTGCAGACACACATACGTGGCTGTATCCCGAGGCCCTGTGCTCCAGAGCCCTGTGTGAAGTCCCACCCCCTCACCCCGACTGGGCATGCTCCAAATGCTGGGGCGGTATAAAAGGCAGAAGAGCCGCTCACTCTGGGCTGGCCAGTGATGGAGAAGGGCCTCTGGGTGACGTGCCTGAACTGCTGCAGCCAGTAGCCCCGATGGTGGGAACCGGAGACCCGGGAGACGGCTGCAATGCAACCCCCATGGAGTTCCAGGGGAGCAGCTGCCAGAGATCTGGAAGAGCCAGCGAGCACGTGGGACGTCGATCTGACCGAAGTGATGGGGAGTGACCCAGGGAGGGTGCAGGAGCGGCCTCTCCCACCCCGTGTCCTTGGTGTGTTTCAGCTGGATCCCCGCCCAGGGATTGCAGGCCGTGCTGCTGCTCACAGGGCCTGGGGTTGGGACCTGGTAGAGCAGGGTGGGTCTGGGTCCCCCTACTAGGGCACTGCCCCAATCTCATTGACTCTGGCTAGTAGGCCCTACTGCCCTGAATGGAGGGCTATTCGCTGACTGGCCATTGGGCCATGCCTGGGGTTACCCGGAGACCAGGGAAGTTCTGCGGGTTATAGAGACGGCCACGTGCCCCGTGGGCGAGGAGGTGGCATCCGCACCCCAGAATGTCACCCCAGTGACGGGGAGCACAGACACTGCCCCACCCCAACGCTGCTCCCAGCCCTCCTGAGCCAGCAGTGGGCTCCAGCCAGACCCCAGCCCGGCACCCGGAGCTGGGCCGCCCTGCCCTGGCCCGCGGGAGCTCCTGGCCGAGGTGGCCGCGCCTACAATGGGCGGTGGCCGGCCGTAGCGCTTGTATCCCCAGCTGAGGTGCCTCGGGCGGGTTTCCAGCTGCTCTGGCTGGAGGAGCAGCGCTGCGGGCGGCCGAGTGGCCACGGGCAGCAGCAGGGTGTTGGCGGTGGCCAGACAACGTGGCTTGTGCCCTGCACTGCCGGGCTCCCCTGGGGACGTCGCTATCCCCGTCAGGCGGAGGGTGCTGGGCCGGGAGGGGGCTTGGCTGAGCTGGCCCCTGAGGAGCCCCTGACAGACCCGGGTTCCCGTCCACTGGGCCCCCCGGTCCTGCTGGGATTCCCCCAGGGGGCAGGGGCCTGTCCCTGCATGGTAATGGGCGCGGGCGCTGAGCCGTCTCCTTCCCAGCCGCGTGCGGGTGGCGGGGTGGTGGAGCAGGTGGGGGCTGCGGGCCCTTCAGCGCGGGAGCGCAGGCGACTGTCTCTGCCCCCCCCCTCCAGCCCTCCCTTGCGGTCAGCGCAGCCGGTCACACCCCGGCACGGCACAGGGACCCTCTGTGCCCTTTGCCCCTGGCTGGGTCTGGGGGGGGCCCTTGGGCCCCTGGCTCCAGCTTTGGCTCCCCTGCTGCTGCCCTGCCGGGCAGGGAGTAGCTGGGGGGAGGTATGTGCCGTCTCTCACGCCCGGGGGACACGCAGCCCCTTGGGCCTGGCAGGAGGGCAGCGGAGGAGGTGGGGCAGCCTGGGGCCGGGAGCAGTGGCTGGGAGGGTGAGTCTCAGCTGGGTTTGGAGGAGGCGGAGAGCAGGAAAAGGGGGTGGGGGCTCAGGATCCCCTTCCCCTGGCAGGACTAAGGCCTCCTGCCCTGGCCCCTGTGGGAACATGGATCCTGTGCTAGGCTGTGTCCTTGTGACCCAATAAAACCTTCTGCTCCACCTGCTGCCTGAGTCGCATCTGGCTGTGGGAGGGGGTGCAGGCTCAGGGCCCCCCCACGCCCTCACGGGGCATCCCAGCCCCCCGGCCAGCACGGGTCCTGCCCGGAGACAGCCTGCGGCCTGAGGGGACCCTGCAGCAGCCCCAGTGCGGCTCAGAGGTGCGGTTACCCTGCGACTGCGCCAGAGGGACCCGGCCCCCCAGACCTGGCCTCGTCTGCTGCACCCGGAGACGCGCCTGCTCCTCGGCGTCTCTCCCCGGTGACCGGCTGTGCGGGGAGAGTCCGGCCCTTGGCTCCCAGTGCAGCTCTCGGAGCAATCCCCCCATTTTCGAGCAGCACCAGGAACCCCCTTTGGCCGGCCCACTTGGCAAGCTCTGCCCTTTGGTTTCTCTCTCCGGAGAGGTGAGCCGAGGCCGGGCCGGGACGGCAGCCGAAAGGGGAAGTTTTATGGGCCGGGAGAACGGGTAAGAGTGAAACCAGCTGGGGTTGGACCTTGTCCAACAGCCCCGCTGCGAGATAAGAGCTGAGCACAGGAAGCCGCCAGATCCGGGCTGGGCCCTGCACCGGCTGCGTGTGCACCGCTTCTGTTTTCAGGTGTCCCCCAGATCTGCGCTACTGACAGCAGGGGGGGGGGGGGGGAATCTGCATTCTGTGCAGCCTCTCTGTGCTCCCATTGGCTGGGACTTTCAGCCCGTGTCCTGACAGTCTGAACAGCTGCAGAACATCTGTCCTGAGAACCAGTGTCCAGCCCGTCCATCCGACCAGCATCTGCAGAGCACCCCGGGGCCCCTTCCCTGTGGTGGGCACCAGAGCCATCCGGTGAGGTCACTGGGCTGGTGGAGGCAGCGCTGGCTAGTGGTTAGTGCAGAGGTGAAAGACCCAGGGGTCACATCTGCTTGGACTTTAGCTCCCTGGGCGAGTCTGGGCCGGTCGCTCTGGACCGGGGGACGAAGGACGCGGCTGCTCTCAGAAGTTCCCCCTCGTGTCTGGTGAGGGAACTGGGGCTGCTGCAGCAGTGCACCCCCCTCCCCACGCTCCAGCCGGCCAAGTGTGCCTGGCCGTGGCCAAAGGCCAGCAGGGCTGCACTGCAGGGCCGGCCCCAGGGGCAAACACCCAGCCCCGCCTCCCTGCCCGGAGCCTCCCCCTGCCTGCGCCCCTCACCTGGGCTTCCTGCGCCCCTCCCAGGTCAGCTCTGGAGCCCCTCTCCCACCCAACCCAGCCTTACCTGCCCTAACCCTTACAGCCATGTGGAGCAGTCGTCTGGCACTAATTCAAAGGCACCTGCGCTCTCCCCAGCTTGACTGGGATCCAGTCTCCTGCGTCAGGGCTGAGGCTAATCGTCTGGGGATCAGGAAGGGGATTTTGACCCCCACCGCACAAGTGGCCAGGCAACTCCTGGGTTTTTCAGCTTCCGCTGACGCTCTGGGTCCGGCCACAGCTGGAGACGGGAAGCTGGGCAGGGGGGCTGGTGCTCTGGCTGGGGGGTCTGGCTTGCATGGGGTGGGGAAAGGAATTTTTTTGAAGGTACACCTTGAACGCGGACGCACCCCTCCCCAAGCGCATTAGGGCCCAAGAGGGGCGTTCCCTCTACGCTCCACAGGTCTGGAATCAGCCGAAGGCTCAGGGGTCCCTGCCGGCGGGGCTGATTCCTCGCCTGTAACACTGGGCGGCCGCACAGCATAGAAGAAGCACTGCTCTAGACCCTTGGTCTCTTTTCCAGAGGGGCACAGATGCCCACCTCCTGTGTGAGCCCAGCCCGTTTCCTGCTAAGCAGGAGTGGGCTGAGTTGGGGGTTGGAGAGCTCACTGGGAAGCACTGGGCATGGCGTCTGTCATGAATAGGAGCCGCTAAGGCAAGAGTGACTTACCTGAAGAACGAGGAAAGGGTTAAGCAACTGGAGATGCACCTAGGGAGGGGTCAGGCAGTCAGCCAATGAAGTGCAGAGAGGAATTGCAAACCAAGAGGGTTTTTTTTCCCTCCCTTCTCTTCTTTTTTTTTAAGATCAGAGCAGTTTTCCCCAGGTAGCAAGGGAGTCGGGTTCTCCCAGGAATGGACTCCTTGAAATGTGTAAGTCGGGAAAAGTTTAGAAAGTCCGTCAGGTTTGATTGTTTTCCTTGCTTGGGGGTTTGGGAATCATGTCTGAACTGGTCAATTTTCTCTATTAGAACTCAGAATTACAGCCCAGGGCTTTCCCCTGAGTCTGTGTCACTGCAGGGCTTTTAACACCCGGTCATTTACTATGCTTGCAACCGTAGGCTTGTTTTGACAATAAGTGTTTTCCTTTTGTTTTGATTAACCGGTCCTGGTTGATTGTTCTGTCCTTAAGCCTACCTGCCTAAGTTACCTGGGAGGAGCAGAGCCCCACTGTTCCAAGGGAAATGGAGGTTCGGGCAGGGGGAGAGTGCTGCCTAAGGGTGCAGATTCCCAAGGGAGCTCCTCCCTGGAAAGGGTTTATTTTATATATTTTAACTGCACTTGGGCGGTGGCAGCGACCAATCGTCTTCCTTTTGGGTCTCGGGAGCGGAGACCAGAGCAGTTTGTCTCTGGGAGTTACAGACAGGTTCTCGCTGAGTCTGTTCTGCTAACCAGCCCCCATCTCTGCACACCTAGTGCCAGGCTGAGGAACTGAGCTGTGAGTCCATGCAGCAGTAAGGGGCACAGTCACCCCAGCTCTCCCTGTGCCCCAATCAGCCCCAGGCCTAACACACCGCTGAGGGGCTAAAGAACCCAATCTCACCTCCCCCGCACGAGTTCTCCTGGTCCCAAAGAACCAGCCGCAGGTCTCAGGTCAATTTACACTCTGGATCTTACCCACAAGATCAGGCTGGGCCAGTCCTTTTAAAATCTTCAATCTAAAGGTTTATAACTAAAAGAAAGAAAAGCCGGAGAGTGAGGTTGTTAAAGGAGAATACATGACATGCACCGAATCCCCCAGTTCTTGATGCAGGCTCTCAGCAGAGATGTTACAGCTGCTGGCTTAAAAGTCCCTGGTGCACATCCTATGTCAGGATAAGTCAGCCATCCTTCCCGGCTCGCTGTCCCTCGCAAGGCTGCATCTGGGATCAGGAACAGAATTGCAGGCCAAATGGAGATGGCCACATGGCACTTGTATTCCTCTCCTGGCATCTTCCTGGCCCGAGCAGGGCACATGGCCCAATGACCTGTCCCTGTGTCCCACGTCAGCGTTCATCAGCTACTGGCTGGTTTGCAGGTATCCAGACGCGTTGCTCAGGTGCGTATTGGCACCTAGAGATCTATCATCCCTGGAGCTTTGCTCATTAGCACAGACACTGGCATGAATGGCAGGTACAGAATCATGTGACACCTCCCACGGCCCCTTCGTACCGACTTTGGGGCTAACACCCCCATGGGGGCAGCAGCGATCTTTAGAATCCAATAACGAGACAGGGGCAAGCCAGGGGTGGCACCGGCTCCCCCTGAGCTACAGGATGCTGTGAGCTTGCTACCCCCTCCGGGAGCCTAAGGGCTGTGTCTCATTGGGGGGCCTGGGCACAGGCGTTTCCTGCTCCCACGGGGACGCAGCCCTCGGGGCCTGTTCCTGGGGACCAGGCTTTCGCTCGTGTCCCGCAGGGCCTGTTCCCAGCCAGCCGTCTCCGGCACAGGGCGCGACTGCCGTGGGGTGAGGGATGGGCCCTTGGGGTGGGGGAGGGGCCTGACCAGGCTGGGAGTGGGGGGGCGAGGGGCCCTCGGTCGCGCAGGCAGGCGTGTGCAGAGCACCCGAGGGGGCTGCCTGTTGCTCTGCGGAGGTGGCTGGTTGCACCGCCGCGGGGTGGC